TAATGAATATGGAATAGCTCATTCTTTTAGGTTGTTACCAAATACTTGCATAATATGAAACCAGCAAAGTATAGTTTTACGTACAAGTCCTTCGACTCCAAGTTTAGTAGGTTTATGTTTGTCAATTATTGCGTAAGGATTCTATATTTGATTATTGCAGTTACGAATTCTTTTAAATCCATTGTTATTTGGAAGATCTTTGTAATACCATGAATGTTCACATGTAGATTCGCTACAGTATATATTTTGTTTAACCGCATTTATTGCTAGTCGTATTGACCAATTATTTTCTTTATTACTTAATCCTATGATTAATTGTAAAGTGATTATAAGTATTAATTTTGTTTAAATAAAAAAAAGAATTAAACAAATATACCAAATGCTAATAGAGTTTCATGTTTTGCACTATTTTCCACAACCATAGTTAGTACTGGAGCATGATCTATATTAAGATCGTATTTTCCATCAACGCTGAAACAAAGTTGTCCAAAATCTCTTCCATTTCATAACCAGAATTCATCAGACACGGTTAATTGGTAATAACGTTCAGCAGAATTTTCTGGTTTTGATAAATCTGGCTGCTAGTAGTATAAAACATCCCCTTTAGGTTTTAAAATTTCTTCAACCAAATAATGAAGAACCATCCATGGACCTGTATAATCTTTCAATCTTCTGTCATCAAGAATAATAAATCTCTCCAACTTTTTATTATCACAAATCTCCCTGCTATTTAATAATGCTTCATTTAAATCCTCCTCATTAGCGCCATTTAATGGATATAATAATTTGCCTTTTATAGCTTTTGTTGTCTGATGATCTGCACGACGATTGGTAATAATCTGGTCTCGAACCTGGCATGTTAAATTAATTCTTGTAATTTGTGGAACACTAACATTTACCATATTAGTAGGATAATGTGCTCCTTCTATTTTAATACGAAGCTGGTGATTTGAGTTGAGAAATGATAATCGTGAAAAAGAGTGAACCCGAACAGAACAGCAATGCATATCATTTCCATTTTTTAGATTATTTAGTAAATTAAAATTTGAACATTCAGGTATACATTCTCCAATACCGCCATATTGATGCTGACAAGTTTTTCCATCACCTGCACAATACATAATCCACGACCAACATAGCTTATTCTTTTTAAAACCGGCTTGAATTTGGTTAACATATTCTTGACCTTTATCAGTAAGCTTTACAATATCATCAATGCGGTTTGTTGATTTTTGATTTCCTGAAGCCATCCATTCTGTAAAATCCACAGCACCATCCACACGATAAAGTTTAATTAATTCATTACGAATTAATTGTGTTGTTTTTACACGGCTTTGAGACTTTAATCGCGTATTTTTTAAAAGTGGATGTTGGAGTAAATACCACTCAGCTGTTCATCCAAAAGGAACTGAAACTGAGTTATCATCATTGTAAATAATTTGGTTTTCAGCTATTTATGTAAAAAAAATAAAATATATGAAGATCGGGTTTAAAGGTAAAGTTTTTATTATATTCGCTTTTATTTTTCGCTTTAACTTTATTAACTCACATTGTCTAAAATTAAGTTGATCAAACTATTTATTTGTTATTATAACGTAATATGTAACACATGTGTTACATGTATTTATTATTTTTTACTTTGATTGACTATTGATATGCGTATGAATGTCGTACATATGTATATACCTGAAACATGATATCATAATATCATATGTACTACATATGTCACGTGCATGTCATATCAAAAAAGTATATAGATTTTAGGGTACATCTAGGAGTATCAAAAAAGTAGGCGCAGGAGTATCAAAAATGTAGGTTTTGCACCCCAGCGTACCCAGTAAAAAATGCGGACACGTGACAATAGACCAATAATTGATCACGATTTGGTGTAACGTGGTACGAACAGGAAGATCCAAAACAAAACTTGTATTTTACTAAAACCACTTATTTCTCAAAAATTAGCATAAGAAATCAAACTTTTGCGCTCTAACAAAAAAAAATTCCTTGAGCAATTTTACTATATAACCTTCTAGTGTTTAGCTCTAATACTGTAATATAAACACAAACCCTAACATGACCGAATTTAGAGATTGTCACGTGTCCGCATTTTTTTACTGGGTACGCTGGGGAAGTTCTTGTTCGCCACCACTAAGCTACTTGCTGGGGATGATCTCTCGAACTATATAAAGGAATATATTAATACAATTCGTTGGCTCAAAGTTTCTCAAACTATCATAATAACCAGAGATGTATGCCATGAAACGAGACGTAGTCTAACAACCAGAAAGACGTAGTTCCCAGTTGCAACATAGCAATAGAGGCGTAGTCTATTCCCCGAGGGAAGACGTAGTTCACTATCACCAGCCGAGGCGTAGTCAGCCGGTTACTCAGGGTTTCCATCTCTGTTAATAATAATAATAATAATACTGGATATATAATACATAACCTCGAAGTTATCAAGGCAATTTCGGGCTTGAGCGCGATTCTCTTCTGATTTGTCATCCAAAATAATACTCTCAAGCACTTCTTATAGTTTCTATGTTCCGTAAGTCTATCTTTTGTGAAATCATGCGTGTCTCTTCTATATCTTAAAAAAGCAATCAGCGACCAGTTTTTGTTTTCTTCAAAGAATGTTCGTGGATTATTAGACTGCATTTTTTCGGTTAATATTTCGAGATTACAAATTTCCATAATAACGGGACCGTCTAAAGCCAGGTGCGTTCATGTAACTAACAGCCAATCAAAATATAAATTTTGATTAACCCGGATCAGCCCGACGAGACAAAAACAAAGAAAAAAAGTGAAAAACGCCGAAAATACAAGAAACAAGTGTCTGGAAGACAATTTTACCTATAAAAACTGCTCCCCAAACTAACCTCATAGGAAGAAATTCATATGATTGGCTAATTTTTATGGATCTACATGTGATCACCCGTGATAATTAACCA